ATCTTTTCTTCGCTTCTGCTCAGTTCGTAGTCGTCATTTCTTGTGTAATGGCTCTTTCGCTTTTTTAATGCTTTCTGGGCTTTTTCAGCTCTTGTATAGACCTCTTGTGCCTTTCTGAGGACCTCGACATAGTCCTGGAGTGTGTCCTCATTAAATTGAAGGTGCTGGTCACTTTCCTCGGCTTCCTTTTCATCTGCTTCTCCGCCCTCTTCACCTTCTTCTCCTTGCACAAAATCTCCAGCCTCCTCCTCCTCTTCTTCCCCTTCCCCTTCCCCTTCCCCTTCCCCTTCCTCCTCTTCTGATACATTCTCTCCATCATCCTCTTGTGTATTCTCTTGAACCCAAATCCATCCAGTGTCATAGGATGCCTCACTCCCTTCCGGGCTGGCAGAGCTTGGTGGAGAAGGTGATTTGATGGTAGAAGCCTCTTTCTGCTTCTTCCTGGCCTTGTTTAAATTATTAAGACGTGAAAGCTGCTGCCTGGATGGTTTAACCATAGCAAAGTAATGAGATTAAGTGTGTATAATGACTGTACAAGCCAATCTGGTGTGTTGACAGGGCATATCCTGTCTCCCGCTCTTGCCTTTCTTGGTAAGCGCCCATTAAGCGCCGCGCAAAATCGCGGCCTCTCAGAAACCCAAACCTCGCCAGACAGCGCAACTCGGCGAGAAAATGTGTTTGGTACATTTGAGATAAATCAAGTTATAACTTCACTATATGGCAACATTTTTGAATTCTGTTGAATAGGAATTGTAGCTACAAGCTCTGACAACACTTCCTACAGGCCCAAATCCTGAAATCTTCCATGGTGTCGTCGTCATTACGGCCGTTGTTGTCGGCAGGCGTCTGCTTACATAAGGGGTGCCCGTTCCTGGTGACCCCTACCTTACTGGACTCGAGGATCCCGGTTAAGCGTCTCCCACCCCCAGCTCTTCTGCTCAGTCACATCCTAGCCATGAGCCCGTTGGAGAATCTCCCTCTGTATGCGCGAGGTTACCTGGAAGGAATGGTATTGGACAGAGGCCTTCTCCAGCCGCTGCCCGACAGTGCGAAACTACCAGAGTGCTGGGTAACGACATTTCGTCCTCGTGAGGGGGCCGGATTTATCACTTCTCATCGTTTGCATATTAGCAAAAAACTTAACGTTCTCTCCGGGGGCCGACTCGGAGGTGAGGGGGAGGAGTCATATGTAGCAGATCGCAGCGTCGACCCGCTGTATCCGTTCTACTACTATGAAGTAGCCTTTGTAAAGAACCCAAGAGACTGTCCAGGTCCGAGGTAAGTCAAGAATCTGACCGCAATTCACCATGGCCTACATTAACGGTACTTGTTCGTACAGCGTGGAAATTACAATAGGATTCACGTCCAGTCCATCCGTGTTTTCGTCTGCGTCACGGTTGGTTACGGAGGATCCTCAGTCGGGAACCGCAGATGCACCCACGACTTTCTGGGCTCGAGCTGGGCCCTTACTGTACCATGGCCATGGCAAGCAATTCGTGATAGCCTCAGATGAAACCTTTCAGCTCGGTGTGGGCACTACCCAAAACCCTTTCAAAGGCAAGCTTGTATTGCAATACTACGTATCGTCATCTGACTTCGTGAGACTTGAAGCCCGAACTACACTTGGGTGTGGGTCTCACGCGTTGGCGGCTACATATTTTATACCAAAGACGGTATTATCCTCGGTATGTCACGTCCTGCAGATCTTACGCAGTGTGCTTGATACTGTATGACGGCAATCACAGATGACTCACACCAAGACGTTGGTGAACTCAAAGGAAAGGCACTGCGCCCTGTTGTGCGCGTGAGACATAGATATTCCGACACCGCCTCCCTATATATCTCCGCCAATTTTGGGCAATATTGCTTCGCCTTCGACTCAGGCTTTCGATCTATGACGGAGCATTATTTCGCCACACGGCGAAGGAATTTTTTGGACAGTGCTAGGTTGTTGCCCAGCGAAATTATTATCATTATAGCTGCCTTTGCTGCGGATGCTGCAAGAGAGTGAGTAGTCTCTTATTAAGGTCGTCGAGGAGAGTTCAGCTAAGTTAACGTGCTCCTAACTACTCAGCGACATTGCAGCCTTGAGCAGGCTTGCCATGGTCTGTTGGACGTGGGCATGGATATGCCGCCCTACCATGTTCGAGCGTATCCACATCGGAAACGTAACTCAGCTTCGCAGATTGTACGATATATCTAGGTCTGTGAACCCCGCGCACCTTCCACGTGAGCTGCGCGTAGGCGGCATGGTCATCCAACCACTCGAAGCCCCAAGCTTGGCTCTCGTTCTTTCATCGGTCGGCTCTCGTTTCTCTGCCAAGGCCCAATACATCGGCTGGCTGGAGACATGCGACGCATCAGGCATTGCAGCACATATCCGGCAAGCACCGCCACGCATCGAGGCCGCCATCTCAGCTCTTCTTCGCCCATTCCGCGACCTCCTCTCCCTGCACATAGACCGGGTCGAATTCCGACCCCTTACGTACCTCCTTCGCATCATTCGTGGACTTCCCCGAATCCAGAATATCCACCTCATGCAAGTAGCGGTCCTGGAAACTACGGAACAGTTCTACTGGCCGCTATCAGTTCTTTTGACGGAGCTGCGGGTTTTCCAAGTGGTGCGTTGCAAAGTACCCGCGTGTATAGCTCCTGCATTCGTCTCGCTTGGCCTGCGCGGCAAGCCCGAACTGATCTCCTCACCCGCTATCGTCTCGCAAAGTCGCCGACAGGTGAATGGGATCTCACTGCGCCATGACGACGAGTATGCTGTTCTGCGAATAATTCAAGCAGTGGGAAGCCTACATGCGTTGTTCGCCAACAACGCTGAGTGGGTGCGGTGCAGTATGTCAGTGAGCGGCGGCTCGGGGGGTCGAGTTACCGAGTACATTACTGGTGAGATCTGGACAGGTTGTCATGATTCTCGCCTAAATTTTTAACGCTTTCGCAGTTGAATTGCACAATGCCCTTGCGATCAAGGTCGAGGTAGAGAAAATGAAAGAGTCGAAAGAAACCCTTTGGCGTATCAAGGCGGTCGCTATCGTAATCCCCTCCGACTCCATTCCGATACAGGATCTAGCAGAAACCCTAGCATCTCTGGATACCTCATTCGCTGAAACCTCCAGACAAGCGAATCCTCCACTTAGATTCCGATGCCACATATTGTGTCCGAGTCCAGGGCCCGAGATACGGACGACCATATCCAGTGCAATGCCTTTGCTCCGCGCGGAAGGAAGAGTGCTGGCCGACCTTCCACGTCATTAGCCCGAAAGATACATTCCTGTCTGCTTTATCATCTCTCCTACCAATCAGCACTATCCCATTCAACGCCGAGTCTAGTTCTTCTTGTAATGCTCGAACCAAACCCCAGATTAAACAGTGCGCGCTGCCAACCGTTGCAGTGGTAGCGTCCCCGCTTCCTGTGGCATCGACCCTACTTTTACATCCCGTGCTTGCACTGTCGAGCTCGCGTACTTGTGGTCCATGCACAGGGGCTGTTGACCCACACTCAACATCTTCCACCGTGCCACGTCGCCGGCCTCGGGCAGCAACCCGGGCACGCCTTGCAGCCCCTCTCCCGCCATAGGTTGCTAGGAAGCTCCACGTCGCACCGCTCCGCTTGAGTGTGACTCGCACCATGAGGCCCTAGGTACACCCTCTGTACTACCGAGTTTGCTGCTGGCGTCACGCCGGCCTTCGAGCCTGCGACCCTGTACGAGCTCAAGGATGGAGCTTAGGCTGCCGGAATATGGAAAGAGGACGTGTAGATCAGACGTGGAGTCGGAGAGAAGAGGTGAGGGAGGGCGCGAGGGCCGACATGGTGGGTGGTAGATGCGAGGGAGGGCATGAGAGCAGGTGGTGGCACGGAATCCCCGCCCGATAGGAAGGATGAGGACGACGGACGGATCCATCTCTTCGTCCGCACTGCATTTGTTCTGAGTGAAGGAAAATGTCGAAAATATCATGAGATTGACTAGTGTGCCGTACGTTCATACCCTTACGCCTAGCAATCGCAGAAGGAGATTTGCCACGAAATCAGAAACACGTACAGGTATATCGTGTGGATTCTCGATATCAATCCAGGCGGCGATACGCACCGGGGGGGGGGGGGGGGGGGAGCATGCCGCGGACGGTGAGATGCATAGCACGTGTGCACGAGAGAGGAAATAAAAACAGGAAGTGGCCTATATGGCCTTTCTCGTCCAGTTAAAAAGCTATAGGAGTTGCTACGGCGGTGCAACGACCCCTGGCGATTCAAGCGAGAACCAGCGACCCGTTTGCGGCGAGCTCTGCTAGAGCACCTAGTAGAAGCTTGGTAGTAAAGTGCGTGGAACGGTCCAGTCGAATATGGCAGCTCTACGCAACAGATTGATCCGCTCTAGAGTAGCTTGTTTGAGTGTACTTGGCTGCGCTACCAGAAAGAACCGACATGGCCTCGTCAGTAATAGATGTCACTGGAACTCTGAGGAACGCACCTATCCCCTGAATTCTGCGCTGAACCGTGCCTATTAGGCTATCACCCAAGCGTGTCCCATACCGGCAAATAGGATAACCAGCAGTGCACATGAAGCGTGTTCTGGGTACCTCCAACTCTTGTCAGGAATCACGTATCGAAGAGGTAGCGATCCCCTGCAATGAAGCCGCTAGGATGCCTGCCAAACAGTTTAATAGGTGTGCCCGTGGAAGACGAGGACTTGTGTTGCGTTGCAGAGGCAAGAGCGAGCGTCTGAACCCTCAGTCGTCAGCAGGCGCAACGGGAGACGCACCAGAAGGGCATGTAGGCTAGCAGAGGTTGGTTACGAGACTTTCGAGAGAAGTAGGTGTTATATTCGCAAGACAAGCAGTGTAAAATGCTGCACTTTGGCGAGCGAAAGTAGACGTTCGCAGCGCACGCGGCGCATGCTTAAAAGCCTTGTACGCGTGGAATCTTGTCCGTGGATGAATATGGGTTGTATTAGGTGATGCAGGCAAAACGCATGGCGAGTTCGACTGATATCGATTTTGGTGAGAGCTTAGGGCGCCATGGAAAAGCACTAAGTCGTCCGAGCAGAGGAGAATCGGGGTCCCGCGCGTTGGAGATCATTTGCAAGACCCTGGACCCTGGACACTGCCCACCACCTGTTAAGCTAGCGCTCGGGACAAGCTCTCCTTGGTCAAACCGCCTGCATGAGCTCGTCAGTTGGCCACAGATGAGTGGGAGCAAGGTACTTGAATCTACCAGTGTGGGCGCTCTATCTTCTGTTGTCAAAACCGCGGACGTCTTCTGGTGTCGATATCGTGAAATAGCTCCTCAGCCGATGCGTTTAGTACTCCATGATCTCTTTAATCCTTCGTCATCAAACAGCATACAGACCCGCGAGTTTATGGAGCTGCTTGCGCGTAGCGCAACGAGCACCGGAGAGGGCAGCAGTGAGGCAATCTGTCTCGAAGGCATTGGCGGCCTCGCAGAGCACGCGCTCGACATCCTCGGCGGCCTAGTTCGGACAGTAAATCCTTCGATGCCTAAATGTTGATACAGAAACTAACCAGTCCCATGGCTTGTCTTATCTCAACGCTTCTTCTACGGAATTTGGGTGTGAGATGTGACTTTACAATTGATATTGAGTATTACGTTTGTTCGCTGGGAACGACTTGCAGTGTTTTGTCGATATTATAAATCTGCTTCGATTCCCCCGGTTTTCCTCTGCTTGAGGGAGGATAGATATGACACATTCTCCTAGCCTGATGCCGTGTAAAATCTCCAAGGTGGTTTCACGCTTACGTCCTTGAGCTTTACTCTGCTATTTTTACCGAATAATCCCGAATGCCGGCGTAATACGCCTTCTGTCTAAACTCTCCAGCTCAGAGATCACACCTACCGGCGTTGGCGACGTCCTATATATCACCGCTCACTCTCTTCCATCGGCCGAAGGTACCGGTGAGGCAGCAATGCGCATTTCGCGAGCGTGCTCCGGGGAGCGCCACAAAGGCCCAATCGCACGTCAGCCCGTGATTATGTCGCTCCTCTTCATTGCCGGCCCATCACCATTCGGGCTTACAGAGCTGACTGTTCGGACAACGTTCGGGCGAAGACGTGCCCGAGTCAAAGCGCGTCACCGCTCATATATATCGTGCTCATGGGAGATGTCGAGCTTGGCCCCCTTCAAGCCTCAAATGGGGCGCTCCCACGTCAAGACCGACTACAACAGTCAATTGTCTCAATGACACGATCGTACATGCACAAATCCGTTCGATGATAAGGTAGAGGCGACATTCTTGTCGTTATCGCGGGGTCGTCGCGTTAACACTCGGCCCAGCCAGCAGGGTATTCAACGGTCCAACAATCCAAACCCCATGTCTGGGGCAGAGAAGGGCATCATACCCGCTCGATGATCTCCACATGACCCTTATCGTCGGCCTTGTACGTTGGCGAGGGCGACGCGCCTGGGGCGGGATGCTGCCTCTTCTCGAGCGTGGGCGCGGCTGTTGGTGCACCAATGCCGCTATGCTCTTCGTGCGCGAGATGACCGACAATTTGGTCGAGGTGCGGCGGCGTGATAACTGCAAGACGGATGAGGATTCCAGGCGATATAAGTACAGAACGAGAGAACAGACCTCGAGACGAATCCGCGAGGATAAATTCATGGAAGGTCGCAGCCAGGAGAGTCGCGGGGATATTCGTCAGTGCAGCAATCGCGGCATACCGACCACCTGCAGCGGGAGTACCCCAGATGGCCATGACGGCGAGGCGCGTGCCGAGGTCACGCGCGGTGTTGGTCGACAGGCCGACGGGAGAATAACCCCAAATGCACATCGAGCTGGGAAGCGACGTCAGCATGAAGCCAAACAAAAGGTCAAGTGAAAGAACGCACTAGGAGAAGGACACGATCCAAGGACCGGCGGCAGGCGGGACCAGGAAATTGGTCGGGTCCATGCAGCTCCAAATGACAAGGCCAATCAGGAAGTCCTGTGCAAGATGAGCAGGTTAGCGCGCCGGAGTCTGATGCGCATGGATCAGTGGCGTACGTACACAAACAAGCTCGTTAAAGAAGACCTGACCCAGGTTTGACCCTGGCGGCGCGTACAGCGCGAAGATGCCCGCGAGGCCCTGTGGCGTGAACATGACAGAGTCGAACTTGCCCTCGCTTATAAGCGTCGCTTCTGTTGCTGTGATGTTCACGTGCCATTGCACGTAGACGAAGAGCGTAGCGAGGAAGGCACCAAGTATCTGGGCCACTATGTATCTAGAAGGCGACATTGAATACACTTGTATGAAAACCGAGATAATCGGAGGCTGTACCGGCATGCCTTCGTGACCGGAAAGCCGCGATAGACGACTTGGCAGATGGTGACTGCAGGGTTAAAGTGACCACCGGAAGTAGATCCACATGTCTATGTACATTCTAGTCAGCCAATAGCAGAGGCAGCAAATGAGCCAAACTCACGATGAGGGCGAACAGGATTCCGAATGCGTATGCAAATCCAATCTGCAGGACAGCTGCATGGAAGCATTAGCTGCTCCCACCTTGGCACGGAAGACGAAGCAGGATCTTACATGAAAGAGACTCGTTGTTGAGATTGCCGATGACGAAGCCAGCGGTAGAACCAACGCCTGCAACATACTGAATACAATATTCCCACCAACACAAATGACAGAGCTTCTCGCACCAGCATAGACATAGAAGAACACTCCCATCTGTCATGGCAACCCGCCATTGAGAATTCAACATCGGGTACAGTATATCTGTCACTTACGGTCTCCGCGACACATTCTACAAGCCAATGCGCCTGACGGTGACGGTATCGTTCCCATACTGAGAAGACCCGTGGGCGGGTTCGGACGTCCGCGAGATGGACGACATCTTTGTGGGGGAGCTGGTGCAAGGACATCGATGGAGTAGGGGAAGGGGTGTCACGGGTAGCGAGATGGGATGGAAAAGGCCCGGAGGACAACAGCACAAAAGGCTGCCTTGACGGCTATATGTACGAGCGCGCCTGCTGCATACTGTGGTGGTGTTTGCGTGGTGCGTTTGGCGCACTCGCTCGCATGGTCTCGCGGGAATCAGGGGCAAATAGCTCCCGGCACATCATTCTGGCGCTCAGGGACAGCTAGCCTTGATGCGGGGAAGCTGGGAGATGGACCTCAAGTGTAAACCTGATCAGGGGATCGGTTAGGCATGGTCTCGATCTCCACGAAAGTCGGATCCTGCGTAAACTGCGTTTGACTGCGGGCTCGCCAGTCTCTTTGGTGGTCGGCAGGTGCAGAGCGAGCATTACCAGAGACCCTAGGTAGGTATCAATGCTCTCCTATACCGAGCGATAAGAGAGAACCACGAGCGGTGAGAGGGCGACTCGCCCTCAGATAAGTTGCCTAATTGATTGCTTGCCGTCCTCCCCTTTCAGTGACCGTCGCGGCGAAATACATGCTGCCGAGAATTTAGCCCCAGGGCCGCTCTTTCTGGTAAGCAAACCACCACGGTGGAGTGCTCATGTGGACAATCACGCGTATGATGGAGGCGACTGGTGAGCTAGCCGATGCAGTTCCCATGTCGGGCATCCCAAGCACTAGGGGACGATGCCGAGAAGGTTGTCCTGACAATGGTGAGCGACGTAAGAGCGCAGTTCATTCTCTATGCCTCAGAGATGCAGCCTCGCACCATATCACTAGGTCTGAACTTTTCTCGGCGTTCAAGCGCTTCTAAAAGGAAACATATAACGAATTGGAAGTGCTCATGAGGTAACGCGAGTCGACGGATCTAAGACAGGAACTCACTGGTCATCTCGCCACCAGGAACGGAGCACGATGTACGGCTGTAATTGAGATCTCACGGCTGGCCGCGCTCCTGCGAGGAGAGTAATCAAGGATTAGAGGAAGGCGGCATCCGTCGCACAAACGATCAAGGACTAAGCGTAGAATTGGATCCGTTGCGGCCCGCTGCTTAATGACGCCTATCATTTGATGCGCCCTCCGGGCCCTCCGTACCTCTGTGGGAGGCGCCTGCAGTCTGTTTGCATTCCGCACCGCCTGGCTGATATCGTCGTTACCTGGCACAGCGACGACGTTGCTCAGAAGAGATGTTGATCTCCATGATTTGCGTGTGAGATGGCCGAGGTCGATCCTGTGCTGCCCCCAACGTCGAGATTTTCTCGCTCTTCTCTTTTGAACGTTAGTCCCCCATACCGCCTACACCGGCGAACCGCATGCCCACATACATCTTCGATGATTATTTCGGAGACGAGAGACCGGGAGTGGCGACGGCAGTTCCGACCTTTCTCCCTGCCGTAAATCAGTGGGACCCGATAGGTGGGACGTGCGCGAGCTGCACGCTGTCCACGAATCTGGACACACCTATTAACCCAACGAAGGCGCAGAATGGAACCTGGCACTCGGTGACGGTGAGCCCGGATGAGCCCGAGACAACCATTACTATTACCTTCAGTGGTGAGTCCCCACTCCAGCTTCTGGCCTATCTTTCTAGCTTACCGGACTGTAGGCACTGCAGTGACTGCCTACTGCATCTTACCGCCAGATCTGGGCCCGTGGATTACATCCTACATGAACATGTCGTTCATTCTCGACGACGATACGGTCGGCAAATTTGAAAGAACTGCGAGCGGGACCGACTGGACATACAACTATCCGGTATTTTCCACGTCGAACCTGGAGAATAAACAACACACCTTCGTGGTGCAACCCCGCGCAGATGTTAACACCTCGTACATGGTGTTTGACTACTTCACGTACGAGTAAGTCCTCGAACTCGGTATGGACAGGCGAGTGCTGATATCTTGCTAGTTTCGAGGATCCCTCACCAACATCCGCTCCTTCAATATCGCCGTCTTCTCCCGAACCAGCGAGTCCTCAGACGTCAAGCACATCCAGTTCCTCGTCAGAATTGTTAGCCAGTCCTCCATCTGGCTCTCCGTCGACACCGTCTTCAGATCCTTCGCCCAACTCTTCTTCGACATCATCTTCAGACTCTGCACCTAACCTCTCATCGACATCGCCTACTGTAAGTTCTGCACCCAACTCCCCATCGTTATCATCCGTCAATTCTGTACTCCACCCTTCATCGGAATTCATCCCTGGCCATTCTGCCAGCTCTTCATCGACCTCATTTATCGGACCGACGTTGGGTAGTAACTTGTCGTTGTCAAACCACTCTAGTATGCCAGTCGGTGCTATTATTGGCGGCGTGGTCGGCGGCGTAGCATTCATCCTTTTCGGTCTCTTGGCTTTGTGGTATATCTGGCGACGCAGGGCGCGAACACGCGAGCGGCTGGTGGCGTACGAAGCCAAGGAAGCAATATACGAAGTAAGCTACCCAGCGACGACCCCCTTCCTGGCGAACGAACCTGCGACAAGCTCAGAGGCCAGCAAGCAGTCTGCAAGTGTAAGTCCAGCGCCCCGCCCAAGCGACCATTCCGCATCTGGCTCGCGATGGGAATCGACGACGCTGCTCTCGAGCTCGTCGCAGTGGCCGAGCAGCGCAGAAGGGAAGCGTGCGCTGGCCGACGCGAGCCTGCAGCGCATGATCGAGATGGAACGACAGGTGGCGCAGGACGAAGGTCGGGTAGACGGCGAGGAGAACGGGCGGCTGCAGCGAGAGATCGAGGCACTCCAGGCGCAGGTGCACCAGCTGAACATGGCGTTGGAACAGCAGGCGGAAGAGATCAGGCAGGCCGCATTGTACGACGAGGCGCCGCCGAGTTATGAGGCTGAGTTGGAGCGGCGAAGCACGGCTGGGCGATCTTAAATCTCGAAGCCATGAAAACTCGCGCATGTTAGTCGGCATGCTTTCATGTACTATTGCGGCAGCGGGCTGCTACGACGCTCATTTAATTGAATTTATGCATTTTCCCCCCGTAAGAACGCTCATTGTATGCGCTTTCATGTGCACGGATATGTGTTGAAAAGCGGATTCGTTTCTCTCAATAGCGCGTTTGTCAAAGATCCTGTCACAACGGAAACTGAGCCTGACGAGCGCACCTGACTGTTCAAACGTTCAGGTACATACCACGGGAATGCAGAAGACTAATATGGCTCCTTGCACTGCACGATCGGGTTCCGCAGCGCGATCCGTGCGCACGAGACGCGGGTTGCCCGTGAATACCATCCCGGCATACCAGCCCGGACACGCACCCACGCCAATTTCGGGGGCTCCACACTCAGACGGCATTCGAATCTCGCAAGGCTCACGTAAGCGGGACAGTCTTATTTTGCACAGAGCGTCGGTCGCAGATCAGTTTCGTCCTTGCGTGACTGTGCCAATTGGGATGATGCGTTTCGCATGAGCCCACCTGACAAGAGGCATTGAGCTCGTCCAGCACCGGGCAGCGATTACCCGCCCACATTCCCGTGCCGAGCCCTATGTATGCGTACAGTACCCTCAGATATAAGAGGGTATCAGGTCGGGAGGGCAGTCAGCCCGATACTAATATGGCGTTCCGTGGGGTCAGTCCGAGCCCGCAAGCGACAGATAGTCATTGTATTTACTCACCAAGACGCTTCGTACCTCCCCTCACCTTCAAGTCTTCTGCAGGCGCAAATATGTCCAGCGATCGCGGTCGACATTGAGAAAGAGAGAAGGCTCGGACATAGCTCGGGTATGCGTCGGGCTTACGGTGGATGTGTCGTTGACCGTGTCAACATTATAGTCACGCTGGCTGTTGCGAGTTCTCGGCGAACATCAACATGTCGCGTGGATGCACTCCTAGTCATGCGCTACGCTGGCTTTCCGCTGACCTGCCATTTTTTTTCGATTTACTGCACGGTAGCGACGTCACATGTCGCACACCGTTTCTTATCTGGCTCAACGCTACGCGTCGCAACCAGTTGGTAAGCCATTCGTCCGCAAAATATTATCATATAACTTGCGCTTCCCCTTACAGCGCCACGTCAAGCCTGCAGACTGTCAGATCATACGCACTCATACGTGCACATTGCCCTGTATACGCGTTTGAATCTTCTGTCTCCTTCAAAAGTTGCCGGGTCCCGTTGCAGCTCGTCCTGAAGAACGTTGACCACGTGCCGTGGTGGCAGCATTTGCGCGTTCGGTTTGTGAGGTGCAGTCATGTCGCGGCGTCGCTAACGCTTCGTCCAGAGATACGGCTATGACTTGTGTTGAACGCCCAGAGATAATGCGCAATCTACGACACCTTCCTAATGAGGAACATCATGCGCCCTCGGCATTTTCCGAAGTCCGCTGCGGTCACCGGCCGCGACCCTGCCTCCTTTCCTGTTCACGACGTCGACATGTCACTCCGGGACGTGCAGAGGCGTCCTAAACCATGTAAGTACAGGCACATGTTGTGGCCTCTGGTGTTGAGCTCATCACGCTCCGTTGTAGCACCCAAGCTGACGCGCGGGCACGGTCAGCACGCCACAGCACCGGCTCCTCCACACCCCTTCCAACAGCTCCCGCAGGAGTTGATTGACCAAATAATCGATAAGCTCTGCAAAAATATCCCGACTCTGAAAAGTTGCTCCTTAACGTGTCGGCGCTGGCTCCCGCGGAGTTCGGCGCATCTCTTCGCATCCTATGCCATTCCCCCGCTGCCAAACGACATCGACCTCATCCTCGCGACGCAGTCCACAGCGCGCATCAGCTTCAACGTTGTAACACTCACTCTTTATTTTACGTCCTTCGACCAGTTTAGTGTCGTCAAGGCCTTGCCGCGCCTCCGCCAACTCATTGTCTACGCCGAGTTCGTCCGCCGAGATCACTTGCTTGCCCAGGCGTATGCTTCTATGCCGAAGCTGAAGACCTCAGGGCGTGGCATTAAACTTCTCGACGTACGAAATGCGCCGGTGTTTTTGGTAGACTGGCTCCTGCAGCTGTTCGACTCTGTCGAGACACTCCGTCTCGCGTTTATCACGCACACAGATGACGTGGTGCTCTGTCGCGAGTCCCATGTCGTCAAGAACCTGTCGATAAAACATATGAGTGTGGGAACCCTACATCACCTGCCTGAAATTCTCGAATGCGGTGCGCTTTCAGGCCTTACGGTGGATGTCAACGGTCGTCGTGAAGGCGGCTATGAATCTGCTATACACGGCTTTATGCAAGATATCGGACAGAACATCGAGAGTTATCATCACATTGATTACTCCACAGGATGGTCCGGTCCCAGACCATGTGAGTGGAAGTGGCTCGACTCTGCTTTTTCGTGATGACAATAGACTGCTTTCCAGCCCGGGCGCCCACATTGTCCACCTACAAATACATTTCTTCGGTAACTCTCACGTCAGACTTATTCAGCCACCGCCGTTCTCGTAGTGCGTTGGAGTGGGCCGTTGTCTTTTTGGCCTCACTGCCGGCGAATATACGTCGCGTCAGACTCGTGTGCCACAGCCTTCGGGACAGCAACACAGCATCGCACGAGAGGGTGAAACAGATTGACTGGGCAGCGCTCGGTCAAGCTCTCCGGTCGTACACAAATCTCGCTTCTTTGGAGATCGGTGCTCATTATGTGCTATCTGCGAAAAGGTGTGGTTCGCTTGAGGACGATTATCTCGCAAGGACAGTCGTGCTCGAGAGACTCCCGGAACGGCTGAGACCAATTACCGTGTTTGTCTAAAAACCAATTTACAGATTAATAGCCGTCCTTCTCATGTCCTCGTATGTTGCAGTTATATGATCAAACTCTGTCGCGATGTTCGACTGTTACGTCGATACCCACTTCTCCACGAGATACATGTAGAGCTGGGGGATTTCTAAATCTCTTGGCCCACTACCATCGGTGAGCGGACAGTACCCGCTTCGGAGCCAGCCGCCAGCCGTCTGTGTTGCCATAGCTCACAAATCCACACGAGGAGAGCGAACTGGAAGTCTCGCGGCGCGTCCAGCGACTAAAAACTGCTTGCAAAAGGTCGCATTATCATATGCGCAGAACGATCAGGGGCAAAATAGGGCAGACCGACGCTACGGAGGGGCACGAGCTTGAACAGGCGGGTCGGGATTGGCGTCTATCAAAGCCGCCATCATCCCGACCAACGACACCCCCGAGATTTTTCAACGTCGGCTACGAAAAAGGAGGTTTCTTTCAACTTCCACTGTATCAGCATTTCAGGGTAAGCTATGTCTCACATAACTCAGACGCTCTTTACATCATGTTTCCATCCAGGCTGTGCGTTTTTTGTCAGAGCTCACGCAAGCTCCCGCCGGAGCTTTGCGACCACGTCATCGACTTCCTCGGCCAGGAGAGCAGCACAGAGGACACCAACATTGCGTTGAATTTGGAAGCTTGTAGCCTGGTGTAGCGAATTAGACACCTATGCTTCGACTTGACCTACTTGCGCGGTCGTGATGAAGATCTGGGTAACCAAGTCGTGTTTCTTTATCATGAGGATCAGCACGCTGACAAGGTCACCTACAGACTGGATATATATATATATAGCCACCCCGGATGTTGTCGCCCTGATCCTTCATTTGAAGACCCTGCGTATCAATATTCCTCCAGAGTTTACGATGTTGCACTCTGCGTGCCTTAGAGCCCAGAGCCGTGCCCACTGACAATCATCTCCCTCTACTCCGGAGTTCGCTTTGGGGCACATAGCCAATATCCTTCATCTGGTATCCTCCGTGTTACAGAGACTCGCCATTTGCTTTCATCCACACACTCTGCCGCACGAGCCGGATAGCCCCTTAGTAGCCCACAGGCCGCCCTGGCGACTATCGTCACTAATATCTCCTCTTTGACGCATCTTTCCATCATTCTCAAGCATCCGGAGCTCAAGCTGCCGTGCCGTCCTTGGGTGTGTCGACCCGCATCCGCAGCCGAGGCCATCCACAACGATGGTGGCCACAACAGTGTACCTCCCCGGGTCAAGCAGTAAGAAAATGATCTTGAACCCTATGTCACTATATGGCTTTATAATCTTCTAGACTAGCTTTGGGAGGATGCGAAGAAGCAACACGAGAGAGATGTTACGTGTTTTCTGAGGGTTGGAGACCCATGTTAGTTCTTTAGCGAAAGCCCAAGTCTGGTGCATAAGTAGCTCTGGCATTTGTTGTCTCGTACGGTCGCAATGTTGATTACTGGTGTCCGTTCTTTGACGTACAAAATGGACATCAGGATAGCTCGAGCATGCCAATGGCCTGACGAGATGATGCCTGCAATATTAAGGCTACTGAGCAACGCTGCAAACTCATCCCAAAAGTGTCGGCTTCTTATCCGGCGCGTAGTGACTATTATGACCAATCATCTTTATTCCCGAGAGTTATACTGCATCGGTGCCCGCGTCCGGCAGAGAGTATACATGACATGACCCAGGACACTTTACATCGCGACCGTTATGACTACGCTTCCTTAGTTTGTTCTTCCTCCCACTTTAATGCTACTTGAAGTCGCAAGGTACAACAGCACATATATAAAAACACGCCAGATTTGCCATATTCGAACGTCAAATGAGGATACGTGACTCCATGCGAACGTCAGCTGCATCGCTCATGTATTGCTGGCCTGCTCTTGATCGCTCTCGGGGATACGCATGACATCCCACGATGTCTAACAGTGAAGCAGATAGTAAGACGCACACTTTTACACAAATGATGCTATGCTACTCAGCCATGCAGGAAGCCTCTCAAGGACCGCCTTCTGGGCGTGGGCATTTCCAGCGAACGGGATTGGCCGATGAGAGTAGTCCAATGCGGCGATCTCAAGACCCTCGAGCGCACGACAATGCCCTAGCGCTCGCCCAACAGCGTGCCAGTCCAACTCCCGCATGAAGTCACGGAGGGCCTTATCATGGTCCGACAGCCCGCGGCAGCTCGTCACGAGTTTGGCGCGCCGCGCATGCCGAGGTAGAGACGAGAAGAGGACGAGCGTCTCGAGCCACCCGGACATGCTGAATGGGACGGCCTTGGGCGTAGTGACCACGATAGACTCGATATTCATGCATGTCGCAAGAGCCGATATGCCTGGGAACAGCGTCAATCAGAATCGCCAGCCGGGCGACGAATTCCATGACAATGCAGATGGGCTTACAGTTAGGCGGAGCATGCCATCCGCCAAGTGACTGCGCGTACTCGAAGTGTCGGATATGTTGGCCGGCTGTCTGAAGAAACTTGCTGATGCGCTCCGCGGACACTTTGTTGAAGTACGTCCCGCTCAGATCGAGCTTGATGCTCTGAAGCGTGCCGGGATTTGCAAGGTTGCCGACGTCCAGCAACGCGGCGCCCGTCTCTGACGTGATCTCCAGGTTTGGCATGTGTTCAGGAAGGGCGGTCACATCCGCGCTGCTGTGAGGTACCACGTTGACCTCGAAATGACGGACATGCAACGATATTCGTGTAGAGGAGGGTATGAAGTTCCGAAATGTGACAAGAATCGCTGATACCGGGAGTGAGGAGATGTAAAGCGAGCTGAAAAGGTGCGTGGAGCTTCGTGGGAGCCACGATTTGCAGACCAGCGAACAGCTGCGTAACGAAACGATGTCATGTTGCAGCTCGTCGATGACGAGGTCGATGAGTTCCGGAGGAAGGCGAAGAGAGCATAACGCTTGGCCGCGTGGTCGCAATAGGCTGGTCCTCGTGTTTAATGCCATGCTAGGGTTCTTAGTGCTGGTACAGTAAGTGGCGTCGTATACAGCAGAACCGTCAGTGTGTCGATAGATCCTATATGACAGAGACACCTGTACCTGCAGATGAGCGAATCCAATGCTTGGCCGCCGAACTATCAATATTGCCGGTATGCGGCTTGTGCCATGTGCGATGTATCCTGCGGATTTCTCGACGACGGTCGGAAACAGTGTGTGCGATACGGGGTCTCCCGCATTGACAGATGATAAAATGAACATGACGTGACCCCAGAAACCCCTCACGCCGCTTCCCCACGTCAGTATATGTTGCCAGTCGCAAAGGAAAATACGCCAGACGGCCTAGCACATATATTGAGCGAGGAAATGTGAATCAATATGTCTCGAACTTCGCCTGCAACGTCGTGTGGTGCTCCGGCTCTAACCCCCAGTGCTCTCCACTTCGTTCCACCACAACTCAACCATCCACCTCGGCCATCTACAGACCAACGCCAACAAAGAACACACCAACACTCACAAAAAGCCGCCCAGCCTATCCCACGACATCCAAAGTATCGTTCCATGGGACATTTGCAACCCACCGGCGCACGATCTCGCGGACAAGCGCAGGCTGATCGTGAGTCACGAAGTGGCCAGCACGCGCCATCAACACGTAGGTGAACGCTCCTGCACCCGTGCTGCCCTCACCCTGGCCGCCAACGGCGCGCACCGTCGCATTGTGCCCAGACCAGGGAAGATCTGGCGCGTCATTGAACGCGGCTTGATACGGTGAAGGGAGGAGGCGGAGCTGTATTGTCTTGGGATAAGCACCGAGCAGCATAGCAGTGATAGAGGATAGCACGTACAGTGGAGAGCACTCCCGGCCAGGCGCAGTTGGCATCGAGCTTACCTATGTAGTCTGTACACCGCAATGAGCGTCATTTCTCTGGGGAAGGGATGGAAGCACACGTACGCAGGAGTCGGTGGCCTGCTTTGAGGAGATGCTCATACATGAGATACGTCTGTTGTACCCTGCAGATGCATAGGACTGTATCAGCACAATCACAGAGCAGTAGGCAGTTGGTGTCACATATCGCCCGTCCTGCGGAATGCCTCCCACACCTCCTCGCGCACAAATGTAAAGTTGAGCGCTTCGGGTACCCCGAGCTTCGCCTTCGTGCTCGCGAGGTTCATGAAATCGACTGCGTATATCGTAGAGGGGTAACAGTCCTCGACCGTGCCGTTGCACTGTTCATTCACAGTCAGCACCAAGAACAGGACAGAATGCCGGAAACGACAGACATACGCGGAGCTCGACGTTTTGGTAGTCCCGTCCCTCGATGTACTCTGGGAATATACGTTGGCATACATCAAGCGCACCCGAGCGGCGTTCGATGGAATCGTTCATATAGGCCATTTGGATGGCTTCGAGACACGCGGGCAGCTTCTCGAATGCCGTGTGGCAAACGCTCGCGTTGTAGAAGTCAGTGAGGTAGCATCGTTGGTGTAGTGCCCAGCGATAGTTTGAAAGCCGATCCTACAGAATGGATAACTAGATCAGATAACGAAAATACAGCGTTAGACAAAGCGAGCAAGGCGCACCGATACTGGATTGCTGAGCATCGTACTCTCAAGGTTGATATGTCTTGCCCCAGGGACCCCGTGTCCCAATGCGAGTGCGGCGTTCTGCTCGTAGATAACTGTTGCGATGTGTGGTAGATAAATCTTCAGCCTGCGTCAGCGACCTGTACAGATCACCCAGACACAAGACTCACGCCACCATACGATCCGCCGGCGAGTACAAACTGGTTTCTGCATGATGTCAGGTCAAACTGGCAGGAAGGGGGAACGAGAAGAGACATACTTGGCAAGGTGCGGGTGTAGATGGAAGAACTTGAGCAGGAAGTCGTAGACGTCGTGTGCTGCGTCGCGCGAATTGTTGACCATCGTGCCGTGCGAGAACCCCACGCCGATGGGCTGTGAAGAGAGGCTGGCATTAGTGTATGAGATGGGAGAAGCAGAGAACGACATACGTGGTCAAGAGCAATTAGATTGTGGTGTTCTGACCAAGCGTCGGGGTTTAAGACTGTCGTAAGGTTTGAAATGACCTTGCAGTGTGATTCTAATGAAGCGGTTGGACATGGTGTGAGCTGGGATGTGCGAATGGAACGTACGGCCGAGGAGTGGATTGGCCATTCCGCTAGTTCCAGGGCCGCCCCCAACGGTTAATCTAGAGAACAGGTTCAGATGGATCCGCTTTGTGGAGCGGGTGCGTACATCACAGGCGCATTCTCGGGGTCGTGCTGTGCTTCAAAGTACCTGAAGAGCGCTGTTAGAAAAGTAACGTGCGAGAGGTGCGGGTCACGCACCAGAAGAAGGATCTCTTGGGCGTGTCCTCGTTGTCGCCGTTCAGTCCAATGTATCCCGAGTGCGAGACCCCGCCAACACAGAGGTCGTCGTGGGTCTTGACAATGTGATAGAATGGACCCAAACCATCTTTGCCTTCGCGTCTGCCGTACAACAGTGCTCTAGCAAGGTGGTCTTGGTGCGCGAAAGCCATGGCCGTGGCTCCCAGAGCAAGTAGAGCAAGGGCAGCCGAGCATACGGAGGGTCGCTTGCGAGGCCTGCTCCTCTCATTCGTGAAATCACGAGCAGCGCCGAGAGGCAGGACGAGGTCTTGCTTCACTTTCGGCATGTTCGCTGGTGGATGGCCCAAAAACCGCCAGAGGCCGCTTGGTGGGAGGAATTCTCGCGACGGGCGCAGAGCTTTATAACCAAGCTAGGGACCTGGATATGACCCATGTGGACACGCGCAGTGGACGCGTCATGCGTGTTATGACCAGCGTATGGTACACAGCTGCGGAATACCTGCCATGTGATGACCTGGTGATGACCGATAGAGAAGACACCATCGAGAATCGACTGTCGCGACGATAGCCATAGCGGATCAAATCCTGATTTAGGCAACGACGCATCATTTGTTGGCGCTTGAGCGCCGTTGGAGACCCCGACGCTCGTACCATAAACGATCGTCGCATACAACCAGGAGCGGCTTGACGCAAAACCAAAAGAAATCAAGCCTCAAAGCTTCAGCCTCAACTTCAAGCTTAAAGGGCGTACGTGCGCTTCAGGACAGCAAGAGGCAGCTCGCCGATTTAATCACATGACGCTACCGTCGGACGTTTATGCCGGCCAAAGTCCCATATCAAGCGTTCGTCAGATGATTCTAGATATCTCACAACTCGTGGGGGTGAGCTTATGAGTACCTAAGATGCCGTAGAAAGCTAACTAAATAGATAACAAGTTGCATTACTAGCATTGCCAATGATTGTGAAGCAAATAGACAAGTACGTCTACGGGTTATAATCATATAGACCATAAAATTCTAAGCTGCGAATATTTTCCTGGTAGTCCCTGTCTACGAATCGACTTTTTCTACTTTTTCTGTAGGGACCTGCTCAGGAATTTTGCCGTCCCGCTGCCTCAAATCTTCTTCGTCCCAACCTTCCTTCGTATCTGCAGGCATCCGCACAAAGAGGACATTAATGACCAAAGCTAGAACACAGAGCCCAACGCCCAAGAACAACGCTCCACGGTATCCCTTGACGGGGTCGCGCCGGCCATCGTTGACGTGTGTCTCGACTGTGCCCGCAAAGCCGAGGCCGGTGGACAACCCGTATGTCTGCATAACGCCAATGAGCGATCCCGCGACACCCTGTTCGGCACGTCGCACGGAGTTGGAGGCAATGACCTGCGCTGCGGTGATGAGCAAGTCTGGGCCGGCTCCGGCGATGATAATCGCAGGAAAAGCCTGCGCCCAGTATACCTCGTGCGTTGGCATCGTTGCGACAATTATGTTCGCGGTGAGGATCGACATGATGCCAAGGGCCATAATATACTCGATGCGAATGCGCGAAACAAGCTGCGCGCCGACAAATGCCCCTGCACCCGAGACGACGATGAACGGAGTGAGTGTCGCGCCCGTCGCGGTTGGCGTGTACTTGCGTATGTTGTACTCCCAATTAAGCGTGTACCATAGGAAGATGGCGAAGCCCATGAGTGAGAGGCAGACGATACCGACGATGGCGCCAAACGAGGGCCGAGCCCAGATTCCAAGCGGTAGGATAGGCTCCTGAGCGAATCGAGCCTCCCATATAATGAAGGCGACGGCCAACAGGATCGACACGATGAGAAGGACGTATTCGTATACTCTCTGCCATCCGACGACGGCCGCTTGGCTGTGACAGCGCTCAGAAACTTTGTCACGTAGGGACAGGCGAAGCACTTACTTCCAAGCAAAGTTGAACAGGAAGAGCGCAGACACGCCAAGTGCGCTACCAATGATGTCAACCTTGCCATCGGGCGCAAGAGGCTCGTCTCTCGGTGTAGAAATGAACGCCATCCCGAAGACCACGAAAGCCAGTATTGTCCTGGGATCCACATGAGCATCTTATCTACTCCTAGCAGCATATGATACTCACAGGAAGAAAAACATCCACTTCCACGGCGCAAACTGGATGATGAGCCCACAGAAAATACCACCACCAGCTGCGCCAATCGGTGCGGCGGCTCCAAAGAGACCAAGCGCAATGTTGCGCACTCGGCCGGGCGGGAAAGTAATGCAGAGGAGCGCAACACAGTTCGGGACCATGATCCCGCCGCCGATCCCGGAGCACCCGCGGAGTGCGCAGAGCGAGACGAATGTTGGCGCGAAGCCACTACCAAGCGTGAAGGCGATCCAGATCACGGCGCCGACAAAGAGCATGTTGTGGTGTCCGTAGATTGCGCCGAGCCGGCCGCCGGGGAGGATGAAAGCGCCCTGGGTAAGCCTGGAGGGAGACACATCGGTCGTATACCAGGGATGCCAGAAAAGATGGACGTACGGGTAGGAGGCTGCTATCCATGCAGTCGCTCCAGGGGAGAACTCGCCTAGCCTCGAAGGGATAACCAGACCACCATCAATGCCGCCGCCGAATGCAACCATCTGGAACGGTTGTATTCACATCTATCACGGAGCTCTCGCACACGAATCCGATGAGCTTGACCCACCTGTACAAGTTGTGTTCCGACAAGAGACGCCATGATCAAGATTTTGCGTTGCATAGATAGCTCATCGTGCGTCGCTGCCCGTTCTCGTGCCTCGGAGGGCGGTATCGTCTCGGCCGAGGACGGCGGACGCACGGACGTCGTCGAGGAGGCCATGGTATCGATATACAGCAGCTTTTGAAGGACAGAAGTTCATACGACGGAGTGATAGATAACTTCACTCTAGGGCCCGACTTTATGAAGGAGCGTAAACCTTAGCTAGGACCGCTGAACAAGCCCGAGGTGGATATGCCCGAGTGACTAAAAACCGCTGGACAAGCGGCGTGCACGTACTCCCGGGGCTCCTCACAACATCTTCTACTTCCGTTCACGGAAGACAGGAGAAGGCGGTGCTGTTGCACCATTGCACAGGCTACTTGCGAGCAGTCGAAGTGGCGTGCTGGGGCCTGGTATGCTAACTTCCCGCCGCTGATTAATGCTGCGGGGGTGGCATGTATGGGTTCCTTTTCGCTCCCTGTTCGCTCAACGGACTCTGTAATATACGCACAAATATTATGAAAATATTTTCTGGCATTTCTGGCAGCTGAATCTCAAGCTCTAGGATCTAGGATATTCCTGCGCCACAAGGCTAAGTCGAGTCCCACCTCGGGTACGAAACTTGTTTCGGATTGGGCAGCGGGCGCCGTTGCCCTCGTGTGTCGGAATTTTGACCACGGAGAACACGCTCACTTCCTTATCGCCAGACTTGTAGCGGTCTTCGTCGTCCTCGTCGATATCTTGCTGCTGTCGTCGTCAACGATGCTGCTGCGCTCGCTTTGCCCGTATCCGGGAGTGCGGGGGCGTACGAGACGGGGTGGAACATACGTTTCTCGACTTATGCCATGCAATGCGCCCTGCGTCTGCCCTCAGGCTTGTGCTACCCACGATCGGTGTCACAATTGCATCAGCATCCCCGCAAGAAATAAAGTAAGGGAAATGACAAACCGATGTGCTCGCACAATGCAACGTGCCCGACGTCGGCCTTACAGTAAGTCCGAGGTGGACGAGCGCTCCGAGCCCCTCGCGCTATTTCACGCGGTAGACGCCTTCGTCCTACAGCTGGGCTTACGGTTCCGCAGTGGCCTCACCCAATTTCGCTACCATACCGCGGGCACGTCGTCTTCCCGCGAGGCAGGCTCCGTAGCCAATGCCCTCGGCCTCTCCGTGCAGCCGCTCCTCTCCTCAATCCGCGTGAGTCGCTTCAAACCCTAGGCTTTCGTTGGCGTGTACATGGACAGCTCTCGAAGAACCGGGCAAGTCGACCACACGGAGAAAGTTAAAACATAGAAGAAATAGTGGGGGCATAGTAGGCGTGAAGACTGGGACAGGGGTCAGTACAAGGGCAGATGCCTGCAGGATTGCCGCTGGCCCGCTGCTGGACGTGAGGGTGTCAGCAACCTACAATCCAACTGGACTGGGCTACAACAAAGCTGAGGAGACAGACGAGAGGAAAATAGGTGAGGAAAGACCAGCTCAAGTCTGGCTTGTTATTGAGCAGTACGAGCTCCTTATATACATGTCAGACTCAATACCTAGATTATACTACAAATATACGGAGGTGTATAGAAAGTAAAAGAATACTGTGGAATCCAGGAGAACCATCCGGAACATGTTATTCATGACATTACCCTCCCGTCTAGAATCGTGTCCTTACGATTATTTACCAGTAGAGCCAAAACCTCCTCCTCCTTGCTGAGTTTCGGATAGATTTGAAACCTTCTCGATATCGCATGACGCAATACATTCCAAAATAACTTGTGCAATTCGATCGCCGGTGCGTACCTGGAAGAGTTGATCGGTAGTATTGATCATCACTACACGTACTTCTCTGGTGTAATCTCGGTCTACGACTCCAGCGCCAATATCTATCCCTTTAACTGCTAATCTGCTTCGTGGTGCAATCCGCGCATAGGTTCCGTGAGGGGCACGCATCGCTATGCCGGTACCAACAATCCTGCAATCTCGTGCTGGTATCTTAACGCTCTCGGCCGAGTAGAGATCAAGACCAGCAGCTTCTTCAGATCCTTGTTTTGGAAGAATCCCACCCATCCGTTGTACCAAAAGAGTGGCATCACGCGTGAGTATGTGAACGGGTCGTGTCAATAGAGAGGGGATTCGAATTGTCATAGGTGCGGGTTTGCCGGGACGTCTTGCATGGAATTCCTGAAGGAGTTCTTGACAATTAGTTAAGTTTGCCCGTGATTCCCAGGAACGGCGATCGCCGTGGGGGCTGTTCTTCCAGAGCACCTGATACTCCAGGTTTCCGTTTTGATCACGACGGGAGTCAAGAATGTTTTCGACTTCCCATTCTTCCTCGCCATTTACGAGGTCAGGGATTACAGGTTCACGTTGCTGCGAGGAATACGTTGGTTCTTTGAAGGGACTAAAGAGACTTTCATTGAACACAGGATGTTGTTTCCATTGACGCGAGAGTTCCAATTCATAGGCAGAAGCGCCGACTTTGTGTTTGACCTTGAAGGATCCATATCGCTTATCGTCAAGCTTCTTCATTGGTCTGTCAGTTCGGATGTTTATTCCTTCCAACCAGACTTTATCTCCGGCCTTGTACTCCAGTCTGTTTTTCCTCTTCCTATCGTAGAAACGTTTCATGGATTCCTGTGCTAGTCCTATAGCCGCACTGGTATCTTCGCGTACCCGACTCATTCGATCAACAAATTGTTGGACGTTTTTGCTAAGTCCTTCTTGTACCGGTTGAGTTCCTTCGTAAGGGTGATATCCTTTATTGACAAAGAAAGGAGTATATCTGGTGGAAGAGTGGACTTTGTTATGGTACAAAAATGCTGCAAGAGGCAGCCATTCGGCCCAATCGGCCTGTCGGTAGTTGATGAATAATCAGAGATATTGTTCTATCTCGTGATTGATGCGTTCCGTTTGTCCGTCTGTCTGGAGGTGATACGTGGTTGAGGGATTGGCTCCGATTCCGAGGGATCAGTACAACTCAGAGATGAACTGATTCTTGAATTCAGTTCCTCTATCGCTGATGATCTTTTGGGGTAGTCCATGATGTGCAACTACGTTATCTTGGAGTGTCTTGGCCCATCCTTTGGCGTTGAGCTCAATGGTACTTGGTATCGCGATTATCTGCTTAGAGTACATGCAGACGATTACGAGGATGGCATTGTACCCAAATGAGTCTGGTAATACGCCTATTTTGTCCACGAAGATTACTTCCCAGGGTCGTGAAGGAATTTCGTTTGGGAATAGAAGTCCGGTAGGTCGTGTCGTATGAACCTTGGTCTTCTGGCATTTCCCACACCCGGCCACGTAGTTCTGGATGTCTTCTTGGATTCGGGGCCACCAGTAGTTGCACGTGACCATTTCATGCATCTTGTATTGGCCAGGATATCTGGCTAATGGGGTATCATGGTGGTGAGTGATAATTTGCTCACGGAGTTTCCTATTTACTGGTACGTAGATACGATTTTTCCATGTCACGAGTCTGGTGTCATCTTCGTTCCAGTCTTTGTCCTTGTTCTGTAAAGCTACGGTAACTAGTGAATTTCGGTTCTTTTTGTATTTTTTAATTTTTGCGACCCAGTCCTGGTCAATTCCTTCTAAACTAAATACAGTACCACGAATCAGGGCACGAAAATGTTCTGGTTTCAGTAACACGATATCTGAATTGTCTTCCTTTCCTGCATTGTGCCCTTTTGGTGAGATAGTCTGTCTGCTTTGCCATTAGATTTACCGGGCTTGTGATGCAACGAGTATTGATATTCAACTAACTCGGTTATCCATCGGGCCTGCCGCCGGTTGAGCTTCTGCGGCTTCTGGAAGTATTCTAGATTCTTGTGATCCGTTCATATTTCAAACGGATGTATGGCGCCCATGAGGTACTAACGCCATTCATCAAGACTAGTCATGATCGCGAGAAGTTCCTTATCGTAAATCTCGTAATTTCTTTCGGCAGCTGTCATGGCTTTAGACAGGTAAGCGATAGGCTTCCATTTGCCGTCCTGCTTCTGGGCTAATTCTGCTCCTATGGCAAAGTCCGAGGCGTTGCATTCTACTCGGTATGGGTCATTGTCATTGGGTATGGCTAGCACTGGTGCTGTGCAGAGAGCATTCTTCGAGCTTGTGAAGGCTACTTCTTGTTCGACGGTCCATTCGAAGGTAGCGTTGCCTGTTAGTGAACTGAGCGGTTTTGCTATTTTGCTTTAATCTCGGATGAACCTTGGGTAGAAGTTGGTAAATCCGAGGAATGCCTGAATGTCTCGTTTGCACTCGGGTCGAGGCCAATTGACAACTCCTTCTATTTTGACTGGGTCCATGCAAACAACTCCTTTTCCTACTGTCATTCCAAGGTATTCTATTTCTGATTTCTCGAACTCGCACTTTTCTGGTTGAAGATAAAGTTTGTGTTCTCTTAAGATCTGAAGAACTTGCTGCGTGATCCGACGGTGTTCTTTTAAATCTTGAGTGAAGATCATGATGTTGTCTAGATAGACTACCACGTGTCCTTGACTGATGAGATCCCGGAATATATCGTTCATCATGGTTTGGAATGTAGCCGGGGAATTGGTAAGACCGAAAAACATAACAAGTGGCTCGAATAGTCCTCGATTCGTTAGGAACGCTGCCTTCTCTTTGTCTCCTTCTTTGATACGGATGTTGTTGTATCCCCATCAGACGTCTAGTTTTGTAAAGTACCGCGCCTGCTTCAGCTTGTCCACTAGTTCCTATATCAAAGGAAGTGGGTAGCGGTTTTTAATTGTCAGCTCATTCAGCTTCCGATAATCTTGTACGGGTCAAAGTCGTCCATTTTTTTCTTGACAAAGAAAAATGGAGAAGCCCACGGGGATTTCGATGGTCAGATTCTCCCAGTTCGGAGGTTCTCTTTTATGAACTCATCAAGTTCTTTTTGTTCATTTAAGGAGATAGGATAAACTTTGCAACTGATCGGTTGCGCGCCTGGTGTGAGTTCGATTGCATGGTCCCATGGTCGTCTTTGCGGTAAAGAGTCAAAGTCTTCTTTACTAAATATGTCGGAGTAATCGTGATAGTGACTCGGGACGGTATTTTCAAAAGTCTTGGCTTCGTGTTTCAGACTTTCTTTGATTGCTAGATCAGTGGCTGTGGTGCAAATACGTGCTGCTCCTGTAGCAAAGTATGTTTCATGGTCTAGAATGAAGATTCTATCCCCTTCTTCTAGGCGAGCCTCCAGATCGCTGGGCTCTTCTTGATCAGCATCAATATCAATTAATCGGGCAGCATATTTGCAGATAATTGGGCACCGATTAAACTGAATGACTTGTTCCTGCCAATCGATAGATGGATTGTGAATCTGTAACCACTCATATCCAAGGAAGATTGGAGTCTTCCCTAGATTGGTAACAGCAAACGGAAGTCGTTCAATGTGGTCCTGAATTTCCACCCTTAATTTGACAAAGTTGGTAATAGCGCCGCCGGCATTATGCGTTCCATCCGCGTTATAGACAGAGATTGGTGATGGCAGTTTCTTTGTAGCGATATTGTTATCGCGGACAAACTGCGCATCAATAGAAGATCCAGTGCATCCTGTGTCTAATAACGCTTTGACTGATAAGCGCTGCTGCGTGTCCAGGGTAGTGATGATCATTGGGATGTCCATCTGTGTCCCCTTCCTTCCTCGGATAAATTGAGGCTGCTTTCGTAATTCATTCAAGAAGTCTATCGCTTCTTCTTCTTTCATTTGCCTGATTTGGTTCATACAGGCTTCAGAGGCATCAACACTCTTCTTTGAGTGTACCCATTCAGTCAACAATCTAAGCGCTGCTTCTTCCTTGCTGACTATCCATTGGCGGATCCATGCCGCTGTCCATGGGGTGTAGCGCTGCCACTGCGTAGATTTGGTCTGATTCAAGGTAGGAGGTAATTTTTTATTCGGGGGAATTAAGCAAGAGGATTGAGCCTCTCCGCACCGCTCTGCGGACGCCCCTTTTTCTGGTATATACATGGCTACTCCAAACCAAGAACGCAAATAGTTCGTGAAATTACGTTCAGTCAACTTGGCTACGCACCTGGCTGACCGCTTGCAAAACCCTTCATGGCCGTGCAAATTTCTTCGCGAATTGCCATCTTCCAATCAAATGGTTCTGCCATTGCGGCAGGAGCTTTGTTGAGTGATGCGAGTGGTGTGAATGTATTGGTGGTGGGAACTACCGGGGTTTCCACGGTCCGTACTTGTTGGGCTTGCTGCCGATTAGGACAATTTTGTGATATGTGACTCTGTTGACCACATCGGAAGCAGAGACCTTGGCGTTGCGCCTGATCTAATTCCATCGGTTGTCCCCTGCCGCCAAAGGTAACACCAGTTCTGTCGCATCGTGTCTGAACTGGTGCAGTAGAAGCCGCTAGAGCGGGTGCATTAGTTTGTGCTCGCGGTGTGTTCTGCGCCTGCTGCTGTCTCGGCTGAAATTGCCTCTGTCGCTGGGGTTGCGGATTCCGTCTACAGTACTGTTGTTGATTCAGGTCGATGCATGCGACCCGTTGCTTGTAGAGTGCATAAGTGGCTGGAAGTTCTTCTGAAGAATTGTATAGAAGCCAAATGATATCAGCCCGGAGTGCTTTTTCTAAAAGTGATTTGAGTTCTTGGAAGTGTGCCTCGAAGTCGTGAATATTCGCCTGGAAGGCGCACAACTTGAACTTTGAGAAGAACTCTTGCGCTGATAGCACCTCCATCTGCATTGCCTGGAGCCAATCATATGCTTCGGCCTGCTCATCAATTAGGAAGTGCCTATCTAGGTCTTCTCATAGTGTCTTCGTGGTCTGTATCACGGTGTTTTTGTCCGTGTCATACTTCTTCATGAACGTGGCAACGTATTCGCCTGCGTGTCCACCTTTCATGTAAGACAGGACCATGAGGACCCTGTCAAATTGTTCTGGTAGCCGCTTCCTCTGCGTGACTACATACAGTTTCATCTGCATTTTCCAAGCGGTGTACTTGGATTTCGTGCCGTCGAAGGCATCTGGCTTCATCGCGCTTCCATTGAGGAACGCAGTACTGTCTTGGTTCTCAGCCATTGCGCCAGAATCAGATGGAGATGAGGGTGGAGTGGGAGAACGTCGAGAGGGCGGGTTCAATGCTTTGGAATCTTCTACGGCTTTTTCTACGGGGTCTGATGGTCCCTCTGGTGGTACTTCAGATTCTCCGAGGGCGATTGATCGGAAATGCTCAGTGACTGAATCAAGGGTGTCGCGTCTTCCTCTTGGTTCTGAGCCAGACGCTATTGGTTGAGAGACGGCGAGGAATTCCGAAGGCTCTCCCGTGGGGACTCTTTGTAGCAGTTCTCCACGTAGTCCTTCTCTGCACTGAGGACAACGACTGCTATTGTCTGGAGAATGTGGGCACGGTTGTTGCGCACAGTACCGTACATTATCGCCGCGTATGTAGATGGATCTCCCTTCTAGTTCTCGATGTGTATGTCCTCTACAATCACAAGAGGGCGTGGTCATGGGTTATTGGGTCCGTGAAGCTGGTTGCAGCAAACCCTGGGACTAATCGTGTTGTAACGACCAGATCAGGGGTAGAGTTCACCAAAGATAGGAATTTCCAAAAAAGAACCGAAACGCTATTTTAATACAGTTCTAGGAATAGTACAGCAGCCCAAAGAGCGATTATGTCTCTTCGGTCCGACGCCCTGACAGGGATCGCCGATCTAACTGCTATCTCTTTTTTGACGCCCAGCCTCAGCCAGTTGCCACGTCGTACTCAGGAATACCCGCTTGCACTGCGCAAAGTGTTTAACACCACCTATGGTAGGGCAGTGTACGATTCCAATTGGACAGAGCTCTGTCCAGCCGCCTAAGGGCTGGTGATTACAGAGGTGGCTTTGGGGTGTGTGATATGGTAAAAATGCGCAAATGCACGGAGAAGGGTTCCAGGGGTCTTGATGCGGTAGAGTTGATAGGGTTAGGATTGGGGTGAGATTTCAGTTGGGTAAATGAGATGGATTGTCGTGTGGGGATGTATGATGGTTGGTGTGTGAGTGACGAGGATTGTCGTAGGGCAGTTGGTGGAGACTCGAGCTCATGTCAGCAACCTACAATCCAACTGGACTGGGCTACGACGAAGCTGAGGAGAAAGACGAGAGGAAAATAGGTGAGGAAAGACCAGCTCAAGTCTGGCTTGTTATTGAGCAGTACGAGCTCCTTATATACATGTCAGACTCAATACCTAGATTATACTACAAATATATGGAGGTGTATAGAAAGTAAAAGAATACTGTGGAATCCAGGAGAACCATCCGGAACATGTAATATTCATGACAGAGGGACAGAATCACTGTTAGAAACAGGAGTACAGCCTGTTGTATTGCGTTAAGAGCTAAGGGCAATGTTTTCAGGACTGACTTACGATGTTATCACACTTTGACTGCCGGACTACCAATTCACGAGCGCACAGGCTCATAGAACCTATAGACTCATTTATTCGAATTCTATCTATTAGTGCTGCACGAAGCAAAAATCAGCAAGATGGCAACATAGGCCAGGACGACAACATACCTTCGAGTGCTCACCAAAGTCATCTCCAATAATCTTGCCATGGCGATGAACAGAGCACCGTAGGGGCTCCAGACCACTACCTTAACGACGTCGCGACGCAAACGCAATGCAGGCAGAGCACTTTATTCAACAAGTCCCAGTGCGGCACTTCGCGAATCTACAACATCGGCTTGGAGCATTCATAAAAATAATGTAGTCGCGAACAACAACAACATGACTAAGGGTACGAGAACCTGCAAGTGAGGAGTGATCGAAGGTCTGCCGGACGAGCAACAAGGGACATTGTGGCCGTCCACCCTCAGACGATCCAGCGCGTTCCCAGCTCCAGTCCATTCACATCCAGGATCAATGGCAGGAAGACCGTACTCACGAACGTGAGCAATGACGGTTATGTCCTCGATAGAGAAACAACGCCTCGTCCACATACCGCCAGCCGGTCGAATTGCCAAATTCCGCGATTGTATTCCGCGCTGCAACGAGACGAGAAATGGAGGCATCTGGAAAAGGAGGGGCGAAGGTGCATGGTCCTCTTCTAGGGTTACTCGGTGGAGCACACTCGCCCGCACCATCGAGGTGTATAGTCCAAGCCGTCGTGACGCGCGTATGGAGGCGTTGTAGGCTCGAGACATACATGCATCTGAGGTCGCTGGGTCCACACAGTTTCAGCCGCCAGTAGCGGTAGTGCCCGCACGATGTGCAAGAATGTCCATGCGTAACGCTTAGTCGTGGCTCAATTTTCCAGAACCCTAGAGGGCATCGTTCACTGCCGGTCAATGATTCGAGAGCTACCATGTCCGCCACGCACTGCCGGAAGATTTGCGCACATAGGGGATTGCGACTACACGCCTGCACGCCTAAGCTCGGCAGCCTCTTCTGTAATTCGTACACCGACTATGCGAGGTAGGCAAAAGACCGTGATAGCGACCTTTAATCGTAGGGCTTGAGCTTGAGCGAAGAGGATGGTCTCCCGCGTCGCACTGGCCAAGGAGTCGAAGAGGATATACGTACTTGCTTCGAAGTTGGCGTTCCTAATAGGCCAGATTATCGTTAGCTGGCAGCTCGGACGGTGTGCAACGTTCAAAATGGACGGGTGAGCCTTCGTCGTCGACCTCGAGCCTGTCAGGCACGGTAGTGATGACGCGTCCCACAAAGGACATTAGCGGGACTGTCAGGCGTATTGTTGGTACATGCTGTGAGCAATAAGAATTAGCGGTGCGTGCGGCCATGCCATTGCGAGAGAGAAGAAGGGGCGTAAGTCCGTGAGGCTCGTGTTGGACGGAGAGCGAGCTTGCGGGATTGAACCGCGGGGTCTTGCCTCTCGTGGTGATGAATACGACATGACCCCGAAGACCCCTTAGCGCCGCTACTTTGAAGTCTGACCACACTCAACTGCCGAGAACGTACCGAAATGCCCAAAGGATGCTTAGATATCTCGAGTGTTCTACGCCGATCTCTGCGCCGATCTCACCTCGTGTTCTTTCTCAGTCTCGGAGCGAAACGAGTCTTCAGGCACATCGCCTCATAGATGCAGATCAAACAGGATTGAAGTTCCAAGACTTGCAATTAAAAATACATCTAGAGGTACATGCGATTGGGAACAACAACAAAGCGTTCAGGAAAGTGACGAATAACAATAGTCTCGTAATGTACTATGCACCAGCAGTCTGTGGCACGTCTACGAGACGTACACCATCTCGCACCGCCGGCCTACGCATGTCCGCCGCCGCCGGGCGCGTAATGCTTCTCGCCGGCGCTCTCATGCTCGTACAGCGGCGGGAGAGGCTCGACGTTCATGCGGAAGATATAGCGCTTGATGTTGCGCGGGAGCGCCTTGAGCTGGTAGGCTGCGTGCACGCGCGTCGGCACGCTGAACACCTGGTCGAGCTCCTCGAGCGAGAGCGCCTTCGTCTCGGGCACGAACAGCAGGATGAGCACGAAGCCTACCACGTTCCACGCCGCGTACCACCCGAACGCGCCCTGTGGCTGGAACGCGCCCAGCAGGGGCGGGAAGGTGATCGCGACCACGAAGTTGCTGGAGATGGGATTGGTTAGCGTTGTGGAGAGGCAAGCATACAGGCTGGGGGACTTACAAGAACCAGAGGACAGAGGTCGCGAACGACATACCGATATCACGGACCGCGAGTGGATACGCCTCAGCCGAATAGGTGAAGGGCACAGGACCCTCACCGGGCGAGTAGGCCATCCCGAAGAGGTAGATGCCAAGCGCAACGACCGCAAGACGCCCTTTCCCCTCGGGAATCCAGAACGAGAAGCCGGTCATGAGGAGGAAGATGGCCATGAGCGGGAAGGTCGTGAGCAGAAGGTTGCGGCGGCCGAACGTGTCGATGGTGTATACGGCGGGGAACGCGAAGAGCCAGTTGATGAGGCCGAAGCCGAACGAGGCAAGCAGCGACTGGACGTTGTTGAAGCCCGACTGGGAGAAGATGTTGGACGAGTAGTACGCGATCACGTTCACACCGCAGAACTGCTGCATGAACATGACGATCGTCGATGCGAGCGCCGCGCGGCGATTGCGAGGCACGGTGAAGAGCTGAATGAAGCCCGGCTTGCCGCCCTCGATCTCCTTCTCAGCCTCTAGCAGGACATGAATGTAGTACAGGTCGCGCGCGGCCTGGAGCGGCGTGTTGCGCAGGCGGCTGAGGGACTCGTATGCCTTATCGTAGCGGCCCTTGGACATCAGCCAACGCGGCGACTCGGGGCACAGGAAGACTTGGGTCATGACAATCAACGCAGGAACACCGGCCTGGCACAGATCGTCAGACAATGTGCTGTCACATCGACAACAGGCTGCACTTACACTCGCAAGCATCAGACGCCAGTTGAGACCCTTGATGTTGTGAGTATCGGGTACGTGATAGAACGCCAAGTCCATGACGTTACCAAACATGATACCGAAGGCGGTCCACATTTGCCTGTGGAGCATTAGGTTCGCTGAATTGCACTTATCAGTGGCAAAAGTACGCACCACATCATCACAAGGGCGCCACGAATGACCGCAGGCGAACACTCAGCCGCATAGACGGGGACTGTCGTCGACTTGGGGCCTATACCGAAACCGAGTACGAAACGGGCAACGAATAGATGCTGCCACGAGTTGGTGACGCCCTGCCAGATGCAAGCCGCGAAAGAGAGGAAGGCAGTGACGAATATCGTGCCGCGACGACCGAGCCACTTGTTTAGTGGAGCGGTAAGCCAGCAGGAGATGACACCGCAAGCGAGGTATGGCGCCGAGTTGACGAGGCCAAGGAGCCACTGGTTGCGACTCGCGTTGCCATCCGTCGCGTTGGGATCAATGTGGAACTGGGGCGCGAAGAAGAGGTTGGCGCCGTTGATCACGGACTCATCCATCTGTCATCTGAATCAGTACATGGTGAATGGAAAGAGGATCCCGGGGCGCTTACTCCTTGGACAGCTGCGGCGAGCGAACAGAGGATAACAAGATAGTAGAGCGTCATAGGCTGGTGCCAACGATGCGTGCTTTCGCGGCGCAAGATCTGCTTGTCCTCTTCGGTGAGCTGGGGCAAGCTCTCGAACGCCATCGGGTCCTGAGCGACAAGTGCGCCTTTCTGGAACTCAGCGGTCAAATGGCCAAGGTTGTGGTTGAGCGCGAACTTGGCGGCGTCGGCCATGAGCTGGTCATGGGGGATACCGTCGAGCGGGTTGGCGAGCTTCGCGTTCAGATTTTGGCCGACGGTGTCAATATGCCGTACGGAGGCCGAGTCCTTGGAGGCATCGTCCTGAACCTCCTTGGCGGGGCGTTTCTCGTTCTCGTAAGACATGGTGGCGAATTACAGCGAGTGTACAAGGGAATAGATGGGGGTCGTACGGAAGTCGTAGAGTCGTGCAAGGTACGCTACCGCCCTGACGTGAATAAGTGAAACTCCAGTCGACGCCTTCCCGTGGAAACAGAGGTGGGGCGAAGAAGGATGAAGAGGAGAAGTCACGAGCTTGGAGCTTCGCACGGCGGACCTCTTTATACCTCGAAGCGAGCACGAACGGCGGCTCGCATCAGAACCTCAGATCTTCGCTACTTTCTCCACATCGTGAATAACATACCATTTCCGCGAAAGGAAGCTAGGACGCCGCAATTTTCAGGGGAGTTGATCGAACGGTATGCCCCGCATGGTTCCCCCGCGGGATCTGAGCGCTGGTGCAACGCCTTCGCGAAAAGTCTAACCACCGGCTGAGATACAGCTTCCCCAGCAGGTGCAGGACATACCACGAGAAAGCTGTGCCCATAATATTCCCTGACATGCCTTACTGGCCTCTACATCTCTCTGGCCTCTACGGCTCTCTTGGGTCGGTTCGGAGGAAACACAAACAGCGAGCCCGAGATGCCTTGGCGTTAACGTGATCCCGCCGGGCGAGTAGAGCCGCCCGTATAAGCGACGAGAAATGAAGCCCCACAGCATCAAGATCCAAGCGGGGAGAAGCGAGCAGGTTGAGAGCATTTGCATATGCACAGTGGGGTCATGTGTTTCATGTGCCTGGAGTAGTGCAATCGCCGGTGTGGATCAGCTGAAGGAACAAGTAGTCGGGACTCTTGCAAGCGAAATCGGAACACGTACATACGCTTTGTCGCCTCGCGATGATGTCCACTACGTCTCAGCTTCCCTGTTCCACCTCCGCGAGTACGGTGCACAGCCAACGCCGGCAGGGCGCTCAAGAAGTTGGCTCAGACGCTCCACATGAGTTTTCGTGGCCCTGAGAGAAGCATAGGTTGAGTGCGTCAGGAGCTCGGAGAGTTAGCGGCTGAAGATTGTGTACCCCGGTTGATGAGACAATCCGCCTAATGGTAGTCCTGCTGACGCTAGGTCTGGCGGGAGGAGGAAAAGAGAACGGTTCCGCTGATCGTCCCAGCGACATCACAGAAAAGCGTCGCAACTGACCATCACGAAGTACAGGTCATGCGAGCAGTGAGTATGACGCACGTCCCTGGTCCACTACCGCAAGGCACACTAAGCAGAAACTCGAGGATAAACATGAGTAAACGCGGAATGCACAATCGCTGAAAATTGTGCACGATGATCGTTGGGACGAACATTTTCGGCTGTGCCGAATCGAGCACTACGGCCGTGGTGGCGTGAATTTGATCCAGACCGATTACTCCGGGCAGTGCGTCACCGACGCTTTAGGCAGCGACACCGGCGCCCGCTGTCCCCACCGGTGAGTTCACCTTCTCTGTTCCTCATCTTCTGGGCCTTACAGCTTCTTCACATGCGGTACTGTCCAGGGGCTCTGTTTCTTGATTTGGAGCCTGTCACCCGCATTCGAAATGATGCGACCTTCAGGCCGCGGTCCGCTAAAGGCGGACCTGACCTGTTGGCACTCAGAAATCCTCGAGCCCGATCGATCGGTTGGAGCGCAAAGCGCACGCTATTACAGGGTTGCGATTCCAGGAAGAACTAAGATGCTGCGTTGGGCGCGACCGACATCGGACATGCATCCTTGCTGCGGTGCGCTCACAATGGTGCCCCACCTGCCAAGCGACCCGCCCATGCCCGACTCCGATGGCCGGCTTAACAACTGTTTGGAAATAGGATGGCAAGACAGATGATGCGGATGACTGACGACGTTCGGATACCCTGAGGACGACTACTCGGTCAGTTACATAACACTTCGTGTATGTGCAAAATCTAATTTGCGCGCCGCAGGCATATTAGCCCCTGCTCGTTGACAGGTCTCTTATCGTGCGAGACACTCCTCCTCGCGGTTTCAACAAGTACGGTGTCTATCATTGCAGCGCCAGAGATAAATCGACCATCCCCATAATTTCAGCTCTGTATTTCATACTCACAACTTCTGCTCCCCCCTCGATATCTCCTCCTGGATCGAGAGCTCCTTCAGAACGCTGTCAGCTCGTCTTACTTTGCGCTCAATTTCGCCCACCGACGGTGCTTGTTTTCGGGCTCGGACGCAAAGACCACCGACGCGAGCGCCTCCATGACATCATCGCGCGCCGCTTGACGTCATCAGGCGACTGCTACTTTGCAACCGACGAACGCATACATGAACGTCGCCGTCGTCTAAGTCGCGCGCGAGAAATCGGAAGCTATCGACTTCAGCAATCTAATTGCTTAGATTTCTTCGGCGGACGCTTGAGGCGCTCGAGGCTGTACCAAACCGCATGCCAGACGCGAGCAGCACCTCGCCCTCGCTATCTATCTGGTGTCCTCTTTGAGTGACGAGCAATGCAGGAGACAGCACACTCACATATCCGCTCTTGGCCTCCTGCAACTGCAGGCTGACCTAATTGCAGCAGCGTCGATCGAGATATTGCATCCGCGCTGACGCGCACCACTCCCGCAGTACGTCTCCTAAACATGTAATTTACTGCGAAGAACGCCACGAAGGCAACGGATGCTGATCGGGCTCTCGCAGTGCTGCCGCGGACATATTCAGGCCTCGGCGCGGATGCGTGTACAGGTGCGCGTCTGCCGCGTCTCTGCCACGCAGGCGACGGTGCCTGTTGCCCTCGCAGTACAATTGGCCATCTCATGCCAATAGGATCGTCATCATCCGAGCACTTCAATCATGTCCTCGTTGCCCCTATCGCCCAAACACAACAGTCGAGCCAGCATCCCGGACCTCCACTCGGATGAAACCACGCGATCGCATGCGCGGCGTCCCGCGGACACACATTGTACGGCCTCGTGGCCCTCCTCTTCGTAATTCCGCCCCGCTCGCCCTGTGACTGGCTTACGTCTCTTCCGTCGTGCCCTGCCGCCCTTGTAACGGAGCTCTCCAGAGGCCTTTCTTCGGCATTTCCCCGCAACTCGTCTAGAGCTCATCTGGAATCTGGTCTTTTCTTCTCTCTTCAGCATTTTTTTACGGCTTTTCCTTCGCGTTTCCGTGCAGGTGCGTCGGCTCTCTTCCGGTTTCGCGTCTCAAGACACTGTCCCGCCGGCACTTCGGCAGCGACCTGCTTGAGTCTGGATGGACGCGCTTCCCTTTCCCTAAGGCTCTCGGGGCCCGTCGAAAGCTCGGAAGGCCATGGGCTCGCGCTCCGGGTGCGCGCGTATTTTTCTCCCGAAATTTAATTTGCGTAGATACATCGTGTACCGCACTCCTGTATGATGTATTCCAACAAAGTTGGCCCTTGCTTGAAAACACAAGGCTCGTTGCGGAACATCTTCGCCCTCCCGAGGCCCGACCTGCCAGACGGATCTCCTGGGCTGCGGTGTACGACTCAGATGTTATCCCTCACGGCCTCACGGCCCAAGCAAAAAGGCGACAGAAGCAACAGCCGGATCAATGCAAGTGCGTGATGCTGCAGCTGAATGGCTCGCAATGGTCAACCCGGGCCCGTCGATGTGGATGCCTGCTCCCGTCCTCGAGCGTTCCCCACTCGCCCCGCGAACTTCGCGAGCGAGTTTTGCGGGGCGATGCGGGGCAGTGTGGGGTACAAGTGACGCGGCCCAAAGACGAAACGCCGGGACAATGATGACGTAACCCGCGCTCACAAAGCGCGCACGAACCGCCGTGGGACTGCCCCTGTCAGAACGAGCGGTCGGCACAGGGCGCACGCCGGAGCGGCCGACGTCGCTGTCCAGCGAATCCCGCCGCGATCCTCACACCTTGTTCACACACTTCGCACGCCAGCAAGTTCAAAGAGCAAGGTATGTTTGTTTGAGACAAAAGCAGTCCGTTTCCCTGATGTACAACTACAGCAGCAGCGCAGGCATATGGAGAGGGTGCGAGCACGATGATACCAGCAATGAGAACAACAGACGAGCAAACAGCAGACGGAAGGGTGATCATGGCAAAGCCGTGCCGCGTCCAGTAAGGGCTGTGGCACATGTCTTCAGCAGCGGATGTGAGTGGGTGGTGAGTGACGATGCCGTGAGAATGTATGGGGACACGTAATGTAGAATAGAAAAGACAAGATGGCAATGCGGGACGAAGGCAGTGTAGAGGCGGGGGCGTCAAGTCGATGGCCTGGCGGACGTTGTCGAAGGCGGTGTCGGATCGTTGATGTCGGTCGCCGTGGAGATGTCGGTGTCGGAGGAAATGCGGGGATGATACGTGTCGGGGCCTTCATGTCTTGCCTGGTCCATCAGCGGCCTAGATTTTGTGGGTGTATGCGCCGAGCTGTCGCACGATGTCGCCAGAGTAGAAAAGGGGAGTAGAATACAGACGAATAAACATAGTGCGCTGTCCGATTTTTGTCGACATTGTCGGCGGCAAGAGGTGGGAAAAAAAGAAGTTAGATCAAAGGGGACGGGGCATAATACCAATACCGAGCTGTCGAGACCGATCTTCCACCTTTGTATCATAGGTGAGCAAAGCCGGAGAAATCTAGTCGAAGTCGACCATCTCGATGGCGCCGCACTGTTCGCAATGTGCCCACATTGTTCTCTGGCCGTTGGGTCCCGACGCACATGCCATACGGAGTTTCGGAATCTGGGAGCAGGTTTGGCTGCGATGGCAAGCGGCGTGAGCATGGGTAGGGCCAAACACATACAGACAACATGAAGAGCCTTCCTCCAATCACGGCTCGTGCGAGGGAAGTGTCACCTACCCATGATGAGTGAACGCCGTACCCCTGGGCTGGATGAGTCCAACAGACTGCTTCGGGCTGTTGGTCATAGGTGAGTCGAAGTAAGCTGAAGAGTTGGCGGTGGCGTCGTGCTCGACGGATGGGTAGAGAACGAAGTCTGGATAACACGCTTTGAGCATGAAAGAGTCAACCCACAGCTAAGCGGGACATCTGAGAGGGAGGGCACTCACGTGAACTGCTCGGCGAGTTCTGGAGCGAGGAAATTTCGGACGAGGTCGAGAAGGTGCTGGCGTTCGAGTTAAGGCGCGAATGGAAGTGGCGCTCGGGTGCAAAGGTGAGCGGCGTGAGCAGGTCAGCGTCTGAGGACGCGTCGGACATGGCGACATCGTTACTGAGCTCGGACGTCGGAAACGCGAATAGATTGGGGCGCTTCGCGTTCTGCGCAGACGGGGACAAGCCGACGGTTAGCTCCGCGCGGCCTGAAATGCTTCCGGTATGGCGTTGGAGTACCCACCGAATACATGACCTCGTCGTCGAAGTCAATCGAGAGCTTCCTCTTCATGGACATTGTGGTGAAGTGTGAAGGAAGGGAGAAGTAGTATAAGGGGACAGAGGGGTTGAGCAGGCTCTGGTGGAACGACGTGAGGGTCGAGGAGAGAGATGAGAGAGGGGTGAGAAGGGCCAGAGGGAGACCTTTTATGACGGGCCTATTTTGATATATTGATTTTCTCAGAAATCCGGTTGCACTTGCTTACCTAAGCCTGTGAACCTCGCCCGGCGCCCTTCGGCAGGGCTATCCCTGAGCGATGATTGGCTAGGAGCGGGCTGACCCTGGAATTTGAGGGTACGCCGGAGTTTGAAGGAGGGATTGTGTGATGAGGAGAAAGACAAATGGTCACGGCTGTCACGGCGCATCTGTCCGCGGATTCCGCCGTCGGTCACAGTACGTTCGAGGTAACGTTGACGCCGATTCGTCGTCAATGTGTCTTCGTTCCTATAGAATCCGTCTCTTGGGGCCTCGGCCTGTGGCCTTAGGGCGCTGACGGCCTGACGATTCGCCGTCACCGGGATGTCTGGCAGCTTCGAAGCTTCGTGGCCGACCAAGTCCAAACAAACCGGAGTCGCCCGAGGGCGCCGCCCTCCGAAGGCCGTCAACGCCACTGTGCAGCGGCTTATCCGCATCGAGCACAGCGGGCGGCCGCCATCATGTACCAATGTCCTGTCAAGGCTATGCCCGATCTGGTGCTAACCCACAGTCTCTCCGGTGCGTTGCCCTGCCAAGGTCCCGCTGTGTAGGGATGCCAAAGTTCTGCTGTATAGGGCTGCCTCGACCGCCTCGAGCTCGCCCGAACCACAGCTCGCTGAAAACCTTCTGACGTCAGTACGTCCGTCGCCGCATAGAAGGCACTTGATGCAATAGACTGAAGTGCTGGGAGCTTGCCAGTGCAAGCAAGCCGGTCGTGTGTGCACTGTTGCGTTTGAATTCTACAGATCGAGACGAAACATGCCGACGCGGCTATGTACGTGCAAGGCGCATGCGAAGATATCGAGATGTTCGGGCGAGGCGTAAGGGCGTTTTCAATATACCGAATCATGTCACTTTCCACACTTGGCGTGGCGCGAAACCTCGTGGAGAGCGTTGCTTCCCTGCACCGCCATTGCAGCCGGACAGCGATATGATAAATACTTTCCATTATATGGCATACACACCGCCCGAATCCACAAGCAGTCGTCGAACATGCCAGCACCCATAGGACGCCGTGAAATGATGCGTCCGGTCGAGGTAAGACCACTGTTGCTGGCGCATCTCCCGCCGGAGCTCGTTGACTGCATCATAGACGAGCTACGGTATAACTCCCGCGCGCCCATGTGTTTCTCCCTCGTCTGCAAGATATGACTCCTCGGTGTTCGAAACATCTTCCAGTTGTTCCGTGCCAGGTACTCCCCGTTCGATGCCAGACTTGGAGTAGACCTCCTTCGCTTCATATCGTCTTCGACCTGGGTCTCCTCCCACATACGGCAATTCGAGATGTCCCTCGTCCCAGAGCGAATCGGAACCCTGGCAGCTCTCCTCGAGTATCTGCCATGCCTCGAGTCTCCCGCGCACGTAGGCCTAACCCCCAGCTGCTCTAACGTCCCCACTCGACACTACACCAAGGAGCTCCCTGCATGCACTGGCCGCTCTTTGCGACGCCTGTCCATGCCCTGGCTGACCGTGGACGTCATCTCGCGCATGCAAGGTCTCTTCTCCGTCGTCTGCACGCTCCATGTCTCCCACGGTATGTGCGCTGTGCATCACTTGCACGCACACGCCGTGCCTTTGCACGTCCCCTGACAGAGCCCTCGCGCGCCTGGTGCAGTCTACTGCACTGGAGAGCCTCGTGGCCGAACCCGGCGGGACATACTGCTCTCATTTTGCGCTTAACGAACTGAACAAACTCTTCGAGACCGCCGGGCCGCACTTCAGGCACTTTGAGCACACCCACACCATCCAGCAATGACTCGTGTCCCAGTCCGGTACGTCTTCAAACTGTCGTAGCGCTCAGCGCCAGTTGGTACTCACGTGTTCTCTTGACTAGCCTGCGCCCAGCTCAAGTCGGTCGTTGTCACAACAGAAAAGACGGACTTCTTCAAGGAAGCTGAGTCAGCGGCTCGATACTGTTGTGACGCTCTGGTTCCTCCTCTCGCAGGTACAGCGCGTAAAGTTCATCACGAGCTGGCGCGGCGTGCGCGGCTGCTGCTGCGCCTTCGGCGACGTCGTGCGGGGGCTGATTTGGAACGAGGTCGCAGGAGCGCTAGACCACCTTGGGCTCCTCTACCGGCTGGAGCTGGCTACGCTCGACGCCGAGGACCGGCCGCTCCCTTTCTCAGAGCACCAAATCGTGCGAGAATATATCCTTGGGAAGCTACACGAGCGGCTGAGGAGAGCCGTCGTGTTCGTGTAGGATTTCGTCCCGGCTTCGCGCGTAATCTCCGGAAGTTAAGCAGCACACAGCCGTCGCGGCAGATGCTTGTATGTATGGTTGCACCCCCGTACTTGATATACTCATTCAAGGAGTCAATTCGTCTGTTTGTGCTACCATTCTTTGGGAATTACGGTCTAGATTGAGAAGGCGCGATCATCATTGCGGTCCGCGGCAGGGATCTTTGGGGTCATAACACGCTTACCGCCCGAGGGGACGAGACCCCGTGTTGCGCTGTCGGCAGTGTGTCAGACGACAGTAAGATTTGATAGAAATCCTATGACACAGGAGAGTCGGAAGTTATCATAGATGACTTCGTGGATGCAAGCGTGGGTAGTTATAAGATGAGCGCAGTCCGTAGATCCCAAAGATGTTGATACACTAGTGTAGCAAACCAGATGGCTTAGTGCCAGGCCGAAGAGCTAGGGTAACGTCCTTTCGAACGGACATCAGATAACGAGAAAGGCGAGGTGGTCGTGATCGTAGTTTGAGACGCAGAGCCCCTCTGTCCTCTCGAGGCGCCAGAGGCGGCGGATCGGGATCGAATCGGCGCATCAAAGTTTGAGGAAGGCGCATTAACGGCCGATTCTTACGCTCTTGGGCTCTGGCCGCCGTCGCTAACGAACTTCTACCCACCTTGGTCGTCATCACGCCCTCGCCATCGGCAGCCTAGTGCTTCCTTGCGTCGCTCTCGTCTGTATGCGGACAGTAGTCGCCATGTTCCTCGGCAAGGAGCGGGATGCAAAGCGCATGGCATGGCCAGCTCGCATTCTACGACTGACCACGTCTGAACCACAGACAACACTGCCCCAACACAAGTAACTTTGCAGGCCTCAAGCCCAGTTTCGCTCCCTGAGAAGAACTTGGATGTGCGTGTATATCGTCCCGCACAACCATGAGTGGCCAAAGGGCGTTGAGATGCGTGCCTGCGCTCCCGGACGTGCCGCAGAATTGTTCCGCAGGTCGCTTAACAGCCACACGAGCAGACCTCAAAGCAAGTTGTATGCGCCCGGTAACGCTAGATAAGCTGCCGAGCTCCCTAGGTGCTGTTGCTGCGATGAACGGTGAGTAGTACCTCGATACTCCGCTCTCGTTGACGGCAAGTCGTGCGCTGAGTGGAGCTTGTCGGGGAGGAACTGTGAGAGTGTACGAAGGAGATGCATTTGGTACGAGCATGATCAAATTTGGTGCGTGCTAGTCTGCACTTTTCTTGCTTTTGAGTTCTCATGCATCCTAATAGGCGGGTGTTCGAACATCACGCGCGACGATGTCAAGCGCAACATTCTCCTCACAACGTCCCTGCTTGGCGATGTTCCTGTCTCTAGCTGCTCATCGCGCTCGCCCAGCAAGCCCGTCGTTCGTAGTACATATCCGTCCACGACGCAGCTCTCCCTGCCCTGCATACAGCTCGGCGGCTCAGATCTCGCCAAAGCCCTGCAGACCGAGTGCACGGTTCATGATAACCAGTGCGAACATATCTTTCCCAACTCAAGCTCGAAGTTGCCGACGCCGGGAGAGCGCCTGCAGCGGTCACGGCGTACGTTTTACAGGGCATGCATACCGGCCCCTTTCACACCACATACAACCTATCAAACACGCCTTCCTTCAAGCTCGCTCGCGATCCCCCCAGACCTGCCGCTGTCGATCTGTCAAACACCCTGTTTGGTTTGCTTGGGAGTGCGCGCTCGCGTCTCAGCCCCCACTGTTGCAGGGTTCAAACGTCGAGCTGACACCGGCGGACATTGGAGGTATGTCGCCGTCTCGGCCCGCGGTGCCTGTCGAGGAACAGTGAATAAACGATGCTGCTTGATTGTCGTCGCCTGCGCGCGCCCGAGTCATCTGCAGTCTGGCAGTTGGTAGATCGAAGGCGGTGCGTCAGCGACTGCGACCGAATTGGGCATCTTTGTCGTAGTACTCTGGCCGCTTGACGGGCAATGATAGTACTAGTGCCGTTCTCTACGACGGACAGGTCATGCTCAATATATTTATTGTACGCTCTATTAAGTCGTGAGGAAACCTGAAATTCATAACTCCTGAGAACTTGAAGTGGCTCAAACGACGTGAGCGAAGGTCTAGAACAGCTCGGAGGAAATTTTGAGCAATCTCGTACGAGAGTTTGGGCAACATCTACAGGCCTTCCGTTACGTTGAATACTCAGCGGGAACGTGTCTCCCTTGTAGTTAGGTAGTGCTGATTGGTTTGCGTACTATGCTGCGCTCTGAGAACTGTGCTTTCAGCCCATTCACCTATACTGCATACATACACCGATATGCTCGACAGCGGTCAGTATCCCGTCCAGTGGGAGCGCCAAACCCTCGTCGCTGCCAGCAGGCATCTGCTGTATCAGGCTCACATACCGTGAACGCTAGGACGACGACGCGAATTTGACGGAAAAGGTACGATAGGTCGACCGGGCTGCGGGAGTGGGCCAGAAAACTGACGCGTCCGCGTGCCTCGGTTCTGTAGAGATCGTGTGCAGCCTGTGCCGGACTGTATACTCTGCGAAAAATGTTTTTCGCACAAGCTATGGTACTCAAGAGGATCCTAGAGCGATTACATGGGATCCGTCACTGCTTTTGATTGAGAGCAGCTCTCCGGGCTCATCATGACTTGACACCATACGTTGTAATTGTACAGATATCCTGATGTAATATTTGGCGTGCCCACTATAGCGTGCGCTTCGCTACGAAACCTTCGTACATTCAATCGATGTTTTAGGTGTCTCGTTCCACGGTCAGTGTATAGCAGCCTTGCAAGTGAGCGGGGAGCACTCGCTCCAGCCACCCCCGCCAGACGTCCACCTCGCTATGGCTCTCGAATGAGTGCACGAGAATTGTGAACCGTACACTTCGCAGCGTGTCCATCAGCTGCGAGACGTGCGCGATATTGCGTGGAGAAGGCCGAAAGAGAACTTCGAATGCCATGGGTGAAAGGTTCAGACGCAGGTGGCTCAGTGTCTCGGGTGCATGCGCGAGTGCCTTGTCAAACTGTACCGACGCAGAGAGGATAAGATTTCGCGGGATATTCAACTCGAGAATCTCGAGGCGGGAAAGTGAGCGCAGCGCAGTGAGAGCGCAGCCATCTATGATAGAGCCTGTTAGTGTAGAAGATCAGACTGACAAGTTACACAAGTACGAGCTTACCGCGCCCGAGGTATCCAGTGTTCAATGACAGATGCGTAATTCCTTGGCAGGTTGTTTCCAGAAAGACATTAAACGACACAAAGAAGCTGTCGCTCTGCCAGTACCAACTTTTCTCCCCGAGCAGCGTGATTTTCTGTAGCGTCGTGGGCTCGAAGAGGACTTGCAGGACCGCCAGGGTGGCGCTATTGACCTCTCGGAATGTCACCTCTTCTACACCATATAGGCGGCTGCCCGACCGCTGAGCCCCAGTCAAAAGGCGATCTAGCGGAATGTAGCAGAATGTAGCTGTATATACCCCATTTGATATGTATTTGGGACCAATCTAGCGAAACCTACCGCCCATGTAGCTTTGTGGCGCCTAGAGCCCTCTTGCTTCTCCAGCAACCTGCGACCTGAGCTGCCTCAGACTGAGACACGTCGCCTTGGCCTCTGCGCTGCCCTCAAGAGGTTCCTTTCCTGTTTTGCTTGCCCTCATTTGTCTTCGCTGCGGGCGCTTTGACACGGTTCGCTTCAGACTGCCTTGACTGCGAGCTAGCTGTGTCAATGCCTCCGTAGCTGTATTCTACCACAAACCGGCACTTCTCTACACTCCCAGAAAACTAAGTAGCTGAGTGTGACCTGGACAAGTAGAAACATACCACTGAGACAACTCATCAGGCGTTGGACGCTCGTCATCCGGCACGTTCTCGTACTTCAGCGTCGACGCGCGACTCACGAAGATTGTGAGCATATTTAGGCCAGCCTGCCGTGACACATCGTCGTCAGTTTGTCGCATTTAATCACTGGTTCAATGTAGACTTACAGGCGTCTGTGCCATAGTCACAACGTCGTTCCTCTCCAAAAAACAAACCGAGGAGACCAGTGATGATTCGCAAGCTGCACTTTCCAGCAACATGCAGCACGTAATGCGTCTGCAAGAAATAGAAGTTGTCCCA